ACCTTTTGGGAAAAATCCAAAGAGAGCTTTTTTTTCTAGCAAATCATTTTTAATTATTATAATTTTAGAAATTTATTGTTCATAGTCCCTTTTTATGATTAATAACCCTTTAAAAATAATAAAATATTTTTTTTATTATTTCTTCACCACAATCCCATGCTCCATACCAATGTCAACACTGACGTTACCCCATTCTCCCTTCGATGTTGTCATCGATCATCATCGGATGCTCGTTACCGATGCCAATGCTCTTCGATGCGTTCTATCAATACCATTGTCAATTGTTACCCCCTCCTATCCTCCCCTCAAGGAGAAAAAGAAAGAGAAGGACAAGAAGAAAAAAAAAAAATTTAAGTCAAATCCATTTACGAAGGGATAATTTAAAATTAAAAAAATAAAAATAATATAGTAAATATTAAAGAGGGGATTGTAATTAGTAATTTTCTAATTTTAATTTTTCATGTTCCCATCCTACGATGTTTTATTTTTTATTTTTTATAACAATCGTTAATAATATTATCTTTTGTTACTTCATCCGACGGCTCGTTTCTGGGCGGTGCACCTTCTCAGCCGTAGGATCTCCAAGATCGGACCGTTGCGAGTTCGAAAAAATTTGACCGTTGGAAGTTGGGACTTTCTTTTCAACTCGTCTCTGTTCTTTTAACCCTGCACCAAATATACCGAAGCCTAAAGGAAGAGCGATCGAGAGGGGAGAACGAGCTCGAGGTCATTTCTTCTTCTTCTTCTTCTTCTCTCTTGAGGGCAGGAATCCATGATCGGAAGGGAGGAAGACATGGCTTCTAGGAGGCAGACCGTGGTCTCTGAGCAGCAGAGAGGTACCTACGGGCTTAGCCACGATGACTGCTTCTGTCTCCTAGGACACCCTGTTATTGATTTGTTTTTTTGGGCTTTTCTTTTCAGTTTTCCTTCTTGTTTAGGTCTTATGGTCTGTCTTCGATCAACTCTGTTCTGCTTCTGCTCTTCTAATGATGTCGGTATCTCGTAAATAGTTTGTTTCGGTGGTTTTGCTTCTCGGTACTGAATCGGCTCTGCCGTGGGTTTTAATCTCTATTAATTACATTAGGTCTTAAGATGCCATCATTTAATTCCCGTTTCATATGTTTTCCTTATTTTTTATGCCTCGCAAATCTTTTTTTGCTAATTTCTGGTTGTTTTCATGCGATAAAAAACTTCTATTTTGCCTTGAATAATTTCTTCAATCTCTCTGTTCGAAAAAAGCTTTTCCTTTCCTTTTTCGTAAATTTTCTTGATTTTAAGACTACCTTTTTCTTGATCCAGAAGCATTTTTTCTAAACAAGTTCATTGCTGCCACACAAATCTTTTTGCTGATTTCTGGTGGTTTTCATGCGATAAAAGCTTCCCAATTGCCTTCGTGAATCATTTCTTGATGTTCTCTGCTCGAAAAAATCATATCCTTTTCTTTTTCGTAAATTTTCTTGATCTGGAAGCACGCTGACGAGCTCCATGTTGCCACCACAAATCGTTTTGCTGATTTCTTGTTGTCATCATCCGACAAAAGCTTCCCTTTTGCTTTCGTGAATCATTTCTTGAAGTTCTCTGTTCAAAAGATCTTTTCTCTTTTTTCTTTTCCCTGAATTTTCTCGATCTGAAGAATTATGAGGAGTTCTTTGTTCTTATCTTCTTGATTGTGTGCATATGGAACCAAGAATTTGACCTAAATATTTCTTCAATTTATTGTTAGGTGGAGCTGTGCCTGTGGGGAAGCAGAAGAATGTCAATGCGGCGGATGCAAAGAGCCGCCGAGCGCTGGGAGACATTGGCAATCTGGTCAACATCCGAGTTGCTGAAGGGTAAGAGCAGCAATGCTTTATCTTCCTCCTCCAACCCACGATTCATTCTTTTGATAACATCCTACAATGCATTCATCTCATCAGGAAGCAGGAGCCCCATATAAACCGTCCCATCACTAGGTAGTCTCAATCAACACGATCCATTCTTCGTGAACGTGTTTGCAGTTCTTTCTTCCCCATTTATTGCAAGAGTCGTCTTTTATCGATCATTTTATTGCAGAAGTTTTGGTGCTCAACTTCTTGCGAATGCACAAGCCCCTGCTGCTAATAAGGTATGATGATCCCTTTTGCCCCCTGTTTTCTTAGATCTTCTCTTACAACATAATCTAAATGATTGCAATAGCAGAAACCTGTAGCTATTCCGGCTAATGCAGCAGTTAGTAGAGTTGGCACAAAACCAGTTACCAAGGCCACTGCTGAGACTGAGGTGGCGAATGAAGAATTAATGCAAACATCTGCGAGCATTGGTTCCTTCACCAAATCCTCGAGAAAGAAAGTTACCACACTTTCATCTGTGCTCACAGCTAGAAGCAAGGTACTTGACGAACATGCGCTTGCTGTGGTTTACAGGTGAGCTGTAACATTGAATACCTGTTGTCTTCTGTTCTGTAAGGTTGCTTGTGGACTCACTGATAAGCCGAAGGAGCTAGTTGATGACATTGATGAAGCCGATAAGGAGGATGAATTGGCCGTCGTGGATTATGTCGAGGATATCTACAAATTCTACAAATCTGCTGAGGTAGTTCGAATGTCGTCTCTCTGTTTCCTTGAATCTTTATCTGTGGTAATGGTGTTTCTTACCATCGTGGATGCAGCACTACAGCAGGCCTCACGGCTACATGGACTCCCAGGTGGAGATCAACGCGAAGATGAGAGCTATTCTTGCCGACTGGTTGATTGAAGTGCACCACAAATTCGAGCTGATGCCTGAGACACTCTACCTGACGTTCCATATAATCGATCGGTACCTCTCCATGGAGACGGTCTTGAGGAGGGAGTTGCAGCTTGTCGGGGTCTCCGCCATGCTCATAGCGAGCAAGTACGAGGAGATATGGGCACCGGAGGCGAGTAATTAGATTGTGTCAATTGCTGTCGAGGCATTGTCGGCTGAACTCGGAATGTGGTTGCAGGTCAACGATTTCATTTGCATATCAGACAGGGCCTATACCAGAGAGCAGATTCTTGGAATGGAGAAAGGTATCCTGAACAAGCTCGACTGGAACTTGACTGTGCCAACTGCATACGTCTTCCTCGTGAGATTTCTGAAGGCTGCATCATGCGACAAGGAGGTGAGACTTCATGATCTGGTCGACTGAAAACCTCAGCTCGTGCTCATGGCACGATGTCATGTGATCACAATGCAGGTGGAGCACCTGACGTTCTTCTTCTCCGAGTTGGCTCTGACGCAGTACTCGATGTTGAGGTACTGCCCATCCATGGTGGCTGCGTCCGCGGTCTATGCGGCCCGGTGCACTGTCAAGAGGACTCCTCTGTGGACCGAAAGGCTTGTGCGCTACACAGGCTTCTCCGAGCAACAACTGCTGTACGTGACTGGTTAAGATTGCTCATTGACCAATAGAGTTATGACCTGCGTAACTGAGCAAGATGATGATGATGATGATGATGATGATGCAGGGATTGCACAGGAATTCTGGTTGACTCCCATTCGTTGGCTCCTGAGAGCAAGCTCAAGATTGTGTACAAGAAGTATGCGCGTGAGCAACTTGGAGCGGTGGCGCTGCATCCACCGGCAACAACATTATTGGAGGAGTTGAAGGCTTCTTCTTCATGGAAGTGATCGGAGATTATAGCATTATCTCTCGTATATGTTCATGCTCTTCGTGAAGTATTGCTTTCTGTGAATAGGCAAATGTCTGTGAGTGTGGTGTGGTTGAAGCTGTAGAACGCAAACTTGATGGTGTGTGTGTATATAGCATGAAAACTATGGTTATCATCTTAATGTGAAAAGTAACCCAGTTCGATCGCAAGGTGTTTGTTGTTTTGGCTGTATGGGGAAGGGTAGACGGCAGTAGCAACACTGCACTCGCGCATACGTCGAGCATCGACGGCCGTGAAGTCGGAGTGTGTCAGGAGAAGGAAGGCGGAAGGAGCAAACCAGCATAAGACACAGCGCAAAGCCACGGGCAGACAGTGCAGCTTTACCCACTCTGGCTGGCCCACGCTGTAGCCGACAAACCACCACCACAGCTCCCCTACTCCATCATGGCATCTTTGTTCTCTCTTCTTTTCACCCCCCCCCCCCAAGCACAAGCACAGTCGATCATTGCTCTCCAGCGCGCATGCATGTCAGCTGTTCTCAACCCCCCACCCCAAAAAGACAAACACTCGTGAGGAAGAAGCGATGGGTGCTCTCTTCTTTGGGGGCACACGAACAGGCGGCAGCGCAAGCTCATAAGCATTCCCTCAAATGATTGCGGGTTCTGACAGCGCTCCGGCACGCGCGAGCAGGCGCGCTGCAAGTGGCGAAACCCAGTGGTCCCTCCGCCCCCCTGGCTACATGGAGCGCAAAGCAGCAGCAGCACACGCGAGAGAGAGAGAGAGAGAGATGTAGGCCTTCATGAGGACGAGAGGTTAAAGCTGCATGCTCTACTCATCTTTCCCACAGAAAACTAGAAAAGCTGCGACCATCTTTACTTGTTACGATGGTCAATCGAGCAGCAGCATCAGCAGCATCCCACGTCGGGTCCTGAGAAAGCAACAAAGCGAACGAAACACCGAGGTTTGTGGCTTGCTTTGCCTGCTTATTAGCATCGAAAAGGCTCATGATGGATCAACAGCTGATGTACGGGATTGCTTAAGCTTCTGTCTTCAAGCTCACAACACTTGACAAGACCTGTTTAGCTTGTAATCCAAGCCTGTCAAAGTTTGGTTCAACGAGGAAACTGTATGTGTCTCAGAGATTTCAGGAGGCCCACTTGGAAGCTGCAGCTCCTGGTCAATTCTCATTGTTCCTCATAAAGTTGCCAACTAGGGCATGTTTGACATTGTTCATGATTTCCTAGGAACACAAATAATAATAATAATCTCCATGTTTTACACCACTTCACAATTGTTTTCAGCAACAAAACTTTAAGAAGATGTTCAATAAGAGCAATTTTTACAAGTTTCAGAAGAAGAAACTTTCTGAAATCACAAAACTCGTCATGCCAAACACCAAATAAGAGCTTTAGATCAGAGTTCAGAAAGTGAGAAGCTACAACATTACATGCATGTTGTAAACCTAATGGTCATTTGCGCAAGTGTTATGGTAGAATAGGAGTACTAACATCAAGACTATGACCATTTCACACTGCTAGAGAAGTGCATAAACTATATACTATCTTCCATCTTCCATTCCCCATGGTTATACAATTAACGATTGCTGCACGCTTCATCTCCACGCTGTTATTGTAGTAACAAGTTAATTCATTTCTTCTTACAATATTGCATGCAACCCTAAGCATTCACACCAAGCCTTAAGCCACCACGAAGAAAGCGGAAGCTGCATACCGACCACAAGGAGAGACGGCTGGGGAACCCTTAGGACGGATTCCGGTCGACGAGCCGCCGCCTTTTGCAACGCTCGGCGGGGAGCGACCGGTCCACGAGAGCCTTGAGAGCGTCCCTCAGGAAGGCGCCGCCGGAGTCGCCGTCGTCGTCGTCGTCGTCATCGTCGTCGTCGTCTGCGTCCTCGTACGCCTCTTCGTCCTTGGCGAGGATGAGGACGTTGCGCACCCTCCCGCCCAGCGTCGCGATCTCAGCCCGCAGAGTCTTGAGATGGAGCGACCGCAGGGTCTCGATCAGCTCCGGCAGGAGATCCGACCTGTCCTCGCAGCACAAGGAAGCCTCGAACGTCGATCTCTGGCCGCTGATGGGGGCGGAGGACGGGAGCACAACGATCTCGTCGGTTTCGGTGGGGAAGAACTGCGTGTCGGCGATCTCTTCCGTTCGTTGCTTCAGATCTTTCATGCGCTCGACGACCTTCGCCAACAGTGATGCTTTATCTGTCTGCGGAGGACATGAGAGGAGTTGAAGCTTAAACGGAGGGGAAAGAAAAGCCTAACCCTAAAAGCAACCCTAGAAATCATAGCTACTTTCTGGTATGACGCTTCTTCCCAACCCTAACCCTAGTCTCCCGATCAGCGACGGATTCGATCTAGCGCAGTGAAGAAGAAGAAGAAGAAGTTTCCCTAACCCTAATCCTGTCATTTCTTCTTGGGAAGAACAAACACTACAACAATCACAAACCCTAACCTGATCTCTTCACCAAACTGACAAACCGAAGCAAAGCCAAACTCGAAGCAGGCAAGTAGTAGAACAACGTGAGAGCAGGACCTTGGGGTCACAGGCAAGAATAGATCGGAGACGGTCGAGGTGGGACTTGATCCTCTCCCTTCGTCGCCTCTCGGCCTCCCTGTGGTTCCTGGACGCGGCCAGTGCTCGATCCATGGGCGTGGCGTCGATGGCGTCACCGCTCATCTCCATCTCCATCTCCATCTCCATGTGAGGGTAAAACGAGGACACAAAGTATGCAGGCAAACCGTTCGACATCGCCGCCTGATCTCTCCCTCCTCGGCTCGCCGACAGCGTTGGGTACATGTCCCGAGCTCTACAGATCAGAACTCATTCTCCTCATAGGCGAAATATATAAGTGGTCGGACTCCTGGATTCCACTTTGCCGTGTTTATCGCGCATCAAAGATTAAAGGAGCTGCCACGCGAGAGAGAGAGAGGAAAGGTTAGCTGTCTGCATCATTCTGTAGAAGCTCTTGGGAAAAGCAATGGTCCACTGACATGCATGGGTAGAGGTGGCATGCAGTAATTCTTGAGGTGTTAGCAAATCTTTCCATGTTCTCAAGACAAGAGGAGAGAGAAACCGGAACTTGCACTAACTCCATTTTTGCTGCCGCAGTTATCAGCTAATCCCTCTGCACACACCAGTGAATTGACTTCAGTATGGTTTTGGAGCTGACATGGGCGGATCATCTGCAGGTATACATGCAAAAGGAAGTCACACTTTTGAGTTGCTTGTATTTGTCCATTATGGAAAAGAGTGATATATAGGAAATGACATGTACGAGACTTGAGGCGTATGGAAAGCTATGCTATGACTCCTATCAAGATGATGACTCTCCACTGCTCTGTTCTCTCGAGGCCTCAAAAGGAAGAGAACATTGTGTTATGTACTTGCTACAAAGACGTCAATTAAATCCAATCTCAAATATGACTAAGAGTAAAAGAAAAGGAAATGCGATTTAAACGGGTCGAGAAATGGACGTGATCCGCTAAGCAATGAAATGGGAAACACTACCAAATCACACAGCCCACCATATTCTGACTTACACGTGGTGATCATCCGTGCCTCGCAAAAAGCAACCTCGGCACTCAACATCCTACGTCCGAGTCGATGAGAACACGGACATCCATCGCAGATCAACGGCTGAGATTTGATGAATTTTTAGCGCTTAAATAGGTCTTCCTCGATACGTTATTACCAACGCACGCGGTTGCCGGCGCGTTCGGTCTTCTCTCACCCCCACCGAACTCGACACCCGGTTTTGTTTGCGGAGGAGGAGAGGCGAAGCGAACGGCGACGCTGAGCCAACTCGATCGCTCAAATCTCTCCTCTCCCAACCGACCCCTTCTTTCCATTTCCCTGTCATTTATACTCGATCGCTTCGCTCCGAATCAAAGAATCAAAGAACTCTTATTGTATCCGATGGTGACTGGAATTAGGAAGGGGAGGAATTCCTGATCGCTCCTCAGGTTTGCTTGCCGTCTTCGTTTCAGGTGTCTTTCCTCATCTCTTTAGTCAAAATACCGTGAATCGGGCATACTGTTTCTGTTTGACTTTTTCATTCGAGTATAATGATTGTGTTGGTGTTGCGTGTTGTAATCAATTGATAATTGAGAATTGGTAAACCTGATTCAATCGCCGAATTAATCCTTGTTGTACGATCATTCTTTGTTTAGCTGGATTCATGAAACTCTCTGCGCGTTAGGATTTGGAAAGGGTAGACTAGCCTAGCCGAGGGCAGGATGATGAAGTTCTCACAGCCTTGTCGATGATCTTATACTTGTGATGACACAAGAAAATTTTGTTTTCCTGTAGTTCTGGCTTTTTGCGAGGAGGAGTTGCAACCAATAACAACAGGGAATATCAAATGCGCTCTTATTACGTTACAAGATTAGCCTCGTATAGCAATGATGTTTTCTCCACTAGACTTTTCTCCTGGTGGCAATGCAGTTGGTATAGCCTGTCTTGGAACTTTTAGACTCTTCAAAGTAGGTTATTCATGATTTGCTGCTAATATGAAGACTCTAGCATTGCCAAGGGACAATTTTTTGAAAGATTACTTGAGTCACTATACCATTTACATCCTACTTATGCATATTGTGACGTCTCTGCCCTTTCAGTAGCTTTATTGAATCATATCATGATTAGCAGTAGCAAGTACACTTGTTAATGTGCTCTTGGCAAATGTCCTGGACTATCCTATCAGTCCTCTGAAATTTGGTTTAAATGCCGGAATACTGTGCTAGAGATATATATGGAACTCACTTGAAAAGGAGGAGTTTTCAATCAAGGAATCAAGAAATTTGAAGGGCTCTTTTAGATCCTTTCTTCTACGTGTGTTGTCAGGAATATATTCACTACTTTCCATTGTATGTATGTTAGATCTTTCTTTCAAATGTTCAGAACCTTTTCTTATAAATCTCACTGGTTGGTGTTTCTGTTATCTGTTCTCCTTTTGTTCAACATCTTTTGAACTTGTAACTTGCTATGAGGCTAATTATGACATGTTACATTGCACTTGATTTATACTAAAAGGAAGTTATATAGTTCATACTTGTTGATCAATCATTATTATCGTTAGATGTGAAAAGTACTAAAAGGTCATACAGTCACTTATCCTATATTTAACAGCGGTTTGCAGCAAGTCCAATCCCATGTCTCAGTTAGTATCTTTAACTTGTACTTCACTACTGTCGTGTTGAGATGGCAATTCTATTGATTAATTGATTATTGTATACAATAGGTTAATTTGTCTATAGATATTAATTCCTTGAAAAAAGTCTCCCATAAATCATTTGGAGATAAGATTTGCATCTGTTGACACCACAAGTCATCCAGAAAGATGAATTTGACAATTGATTGTTAGAGCGGCTGTGAAAATCTTCTCATGAACTAAAACAATCTGTGGTGATAACTAGTTGCAGTTGGTTATGCTGATCTTCTCTGTGCCACTTATCTATACTAGATTGATGTCCTCAAATTCCAAGTCCATCATATCTTCTCTCACTATCTTTGAACTGTGATCTTCTACTTCCTTTCTTAGCAATTGGTAATGGTCTTCTCTGAACATGTCCAAATATCATTGAACAATAACCTCTCATTGTATCCCCAGCTGGTGCTATCTTCAGCTAACAATTAAGATGAGATACATGATGCAACCTGTTGACTCATAAAATAATGAATTATTACATACTATGAAATGTAAATATTGAAGCAATATTAGTCTTCTTTAGTATGATAATGTGGATGGCTTACAAAGTTAGTTTTTTCTGTTTTTGACAACTGTACTGATAGTATCAACATAACTTTTAAATGCTTTACACTTGCATAACATTGATATTCCCAAATATTTTGTATTTAGTTCGATGTTACAGGGTAGTACTTGATGGATTGCTATAGATTTTTACTGTATAGTTTGTTCCTTCTAATTTGATCTGTTTACAATGATACAGGTACTAAGTATGTTACTTTTCTCTGAAGTGCATCAGATTGCCGTGCACTGCTTTGATATAATGCTGATACAGAACATTTTCTTTAAGTTTGGGCGCTGGACTAGTTTCTTCTCATTGACATTTGCTCCCATTGCCAGTTTTCCATCCACTTCAAAAATGTCAAGCATAGAACAGTGATGGGTTTTGACAACATACCAAAATTGAATGTTATGGGTAGGATTCAACATTGCAGTTCCAGTGCTTGCAGGCACAGGGTTGATGAAATGGAGACGAGCAATTGCTTAACCAAAGGAAGAATGTGCAGTTCATTGAACAGCTGCACGTATGTGTTACTCGAGCCAAAGTTTGTAATTAACAATCCTAGTAAAGTGAATGTTCATCATCCTGCTTATGTTTTGTAAAGATTTTTGTTTATGTCATTGCTTTAAGTTAAAATCTTCTTTCTCCCTTAATTTATTTTCTTTTACTTATACTTTGTAGCAAGGTTTTAAACCTTGGTCAAATACTGGTTTTCACACATTTGGACCGGCATAGTGCCAGTACACTAGGTGGTACACTGATTTTTCACCTCTCGGTATCATTGAAAAAATAATAAAAGAATAAATACTAACTGGTACAACCTATATGGTCCGGCACCAATCCTTGATCAGACCTATAAATTCCCATTGGTATATATCAGTTCAATCAGTAAATGTATCCTTCCTTTTCAGTACCATTTTGTTTTTATCTCTTTTCATTTCTTTTCTCCTTAACCCACTAAGATATGGTTTTTGGTGCATGAGTCATAATTGGATATGAAGTATATTATAATGTTCAATGTGGGCTTAATGCTGATATGTGCTTGTCTAGCTTGACCATACCTTGTATTGTTAGGCTCAGGTCAACCACAATCAACAAGCTTGTATTATGTGTTATTATCTCATTCAGTTGAATTATAGTTTGGTAGTTGCTATTTGTGGCACTTGTTTTATTCATGGATAATTTATATAATGTAGATGCACCAAGAGGGTTGCATATGATTTTAATAAAGTTATGATATGGTTTCTAGAGATAACTTTTGGTAGGATTTAGAAAAGAATCATGGATTTTAGAAATTATATATTAATGTGACAAAAGTTATGTCTTTATAGTTGTCTCTTGATTGATTTCTAAAATCATTCATATATTTTTTTGATAAAGTCATTACTCCATTATTGTTCTCTCTGACTGATTACTAAAATTATTCATATATCTTTTCTCCTTTCAGTGAAGAATATGATTGGAGAAGACAGCCAAGGGATATATTTTCCAGAGATCTGTTAATCTGGAATACGCTACACACTGATAAGAGCCAGTTTATATTCACCAGTGTTTGTGATTCACAGCATCTACATGATCCTCAATATAAGTCCTCTTGCAATGACATGGAAATAGGAGGTGTTGCGAGCAAGGTGCTTAAATTGATAGTTTTACTCCATTCCAACATCAAAAAGCTTGATGGTTTTTAGTGTTTTGCTCCATGTCTTGGTTGGCAGTAGTGTTGGACAATTTTATAGAATATATCCATATGAACCGTGTGTGCACCACACATTATAAGGTTCTTTAGGTTCTTATGTACTACCTGAATACATATTTTTCTATTGAAGTGACTTTCTACTCCTCTGTTGAATAATTAAAAGGTGGGGGTTTGTCCTATTATGCAATGAATCTGCGATGTAAAACGGTAGTGCCAGTTGGATATTTAGGTCTTTTATAAACGTTAAAGGACATGCAGTTAAAACTTAAAGGGAAGAGAGGAAGATTCACTTTGTCTATTTATTAAATTCATTGTGACTGGTTTTAAGCTAAACTAAGACTCTAAATTGTATGACATTGTGTTAGTTTCTAAGACCAAATTTACACACTTCTACTGTGTTTTACTGTTTGCTTAATCTTGCCTACTAAAAGTTTGGATTTAACACACTAAAGTTGAAATGCTAATATCAACTAAAAAGAAGATTTAACCGTGATGGAGAACAACCTTGTTGTTGAGTGATACGAGATCTTATATTGCCCAACCTAACTAGGAATAACCATGAAAATTATATATTTGATGAGAACCTACATTACATCAAATATGCCTTTTGTATCCTTTTTTGATGCACTTAGTGGCTTGGATGAAATTGAGAAACGCTCAAGACTGCTAATATGAAGGATCAACAATTTCTGCTAGGTTTGACAATCTTCAAAAATTAACTGAACTTTGTAATAAACTAGAAATCAAATTGCTTGGGCTTGAGTCACTTTGGCCATTTATGGTCATGATTTAAGTGCTGATCCAGTTACAAAATCTATCAGACAAGTACATCCTGGTCAGAACAGCAATATGATTCATAAGCAAAATTACATTTTGCAACTTATTTGGTATTTTTTATGATTTTTTTTCTTTTTAGTTTTGATGAGTATTGGCCATTTCACTAACTAGATATGAAATTCTGATTTATTAGTTTCATGCTGATGCTTGATTGCTATGCTTGTCCAATTAGGTGAACCAAATAATTTTGAATTATTTAACGTGTTGTTTGCAGTTCTTTGGATTTATGCCAAAATTTGTGAAGATAGTAGAAGTTGGACCTAGAGATGGTTTACAAAATGAAAAGCTCACTATACCTGCAGCTATAAAGGTTCAATTGATACAGAAGTTGGTTTCCTCTGGATTATCTGTTATCGAGGCCACAAGTTTTGTCTCTCCAAAATGGGTACCACAGGTAATATGGATTTATTCTCTCATCATTAAATAGTCCATATTAGCATAGAAATTTGGTCTTTTAGTTTGGTTGTTCTCCCAATAATCTTTCAAGAACTTAAGAACATAATTGAAGATTCCACAATGGTACCTATATGTTCTTTCATGTACAGTTCGTTGGCATATTATAAAGTTGCATACTCTTTCACAACAAGAAGAAAGAATGCAATAAACCATGTCCTATAATTCATAATGAATGATGCTGCACTGTTCAATACATTTAGCTTTAGTGAGATCTGTAAAGGAGAATAATCATTTTAATTGTATATGTAATTCTCAACTATAATATTGTAAAGCTCAAAGTGTTGTGATGAATATGAAATTTGTGCATCTATCCGGAGCCAGTTTATAGATGTAATCCTTGTAATATTATTTAATTGATTTTGTATTTTATTATAGCTAGCAGATGCAAAGGATGTCATGCAAGCCATTCATGTTGTGCATGGTGTCAAGTTTCCTGTCTTAACTCCAAATCTCAAAGTAAGTTTCATAGATCAAGTCTTATTTTGACAATCTGAAGTAGCATGTATTCATCAAAGCAAGAGGCAATAGTTGATAATTACATATGAAATATGCAGGGTTTTGAAGCAGCTATTGCCTCTGGCGCCAAGGAAGTTGTCATATTTGCATCAGCTTCTGAGTCCTTTTCTAAGTCGAACATCAATTGCACCATTGAAGAGAGCCTTATTCGTTATCATGAAGTTGTTGTTGCTGCAAAAGGACTCGCAATACCTGTTCGTGGGTATGATGCTCCTACTAACTTATAGTAGCATATTTTCATAGTTTTAAGAGTGATAGCTTTCAGTTTATTATACAAAGGTTCTGTAGTATTCACTTGAATTACCTTTCTAGAATGTTATTTTTTTACATCTTTATTATGTTTAGTCAAATGGGTTTTAGCTCAAACAACCTCTATTACAGTGACAGCACAATTAATATTGTAAAATCATCTCAAGTTGTGAAATATAATAGATGGAACAAAGAAATTGTAGGGACAGTGTGAGAAAGAGATCAAGTCATGAAAGGAGAGAGGATTTGAGCAATGAGAGGCCCTTTTTTATTAGCAGGGCTAAAAAGTTAACCTAGAAGAATAAAAGAGAGGCAACAGAATAAGCAATCTACAATGTTGAGTAGGGTTATGGGAATCAAAAGTCCTGTACTTTTCTCTTAGATGCCCCAATATATTGCACAATATGGGGCATCCATCCAAGACTCAGTTCCCCAACAGCCGGTGGAATCTTCAGTTAGTCTAACCTCCCTATTTGATGTGTAATAGAGGAGGTTCATAGGACAGGCTGTGGTAGGAGGTGAGAGAAAGAGGATCAGAGGAAGAAAGAGAAGTTAAAAAATAATGATGCAGCACCAGTCAAAGATATTTCTTACGTGAACCAACAGTGAGCATAATAAAGAGGCCTGAGTTCAAATGCATCAAATTCAAGCTTCAAATAGGTTCAGCTGAAGGCCTGAAATTGCAGTGTAAATAAAAATAATAATAATTTGGTTAAGTTTCATTGAGTTGATGGAAATCAGTCATTTAAGTTTATTTCAGCCATTAGTTAAGGCTTAATTGACTCATTATAGCAGCAGATTTTAGCAATAAATGGTAGGGAAAATTTCTTTGTTTGGCTTTCCAATATTAAAAGTAATGTTTGTGATCTATTTCTTGCCTTGTATAAGAGATAAACTTTTGTCAACAAAAATATTAAAATTGGCATAAATTTTGGAACTTCTCCTCTAATTGGTGGTATCCCATTAAAAGTTACTTGAATTGAATAGTGGGATGCAAAATAAGTTTAATGAAAGGAGGGTTTTTTTTTTAAATAAAGAATTCTGAGGGAAGGAAATTGTCTAAAACATAAAATATGCACTTACAATTTAATGGCCTGTATGTTTGTTCATGAGAAGAAAATTTTTCCTGGTTTTATGCTCTCTTCTCATCTAATTTCATTGTTCTTTTCACATCTACTTCTCTTTTGTTTGCTATCCCTAGCAAAGATAATATTTTTCATTTTGGAAGACCTTAATAAGTTTGGAAGCCATTTTCTCATTATTCCTGATTTGGAAAGGAAGGAGGTAAATAAGCCACAGGCATTCAAACTCACCTTGACATGTCAAGTGAAGAACCTTTGATCTTTCTCTTGTAGAGAAAACATAAGAAAGGAGAAAAACTATCAAATTAACTTTTCTTTGCTCAGTTCCCAAATAATAGTCTCTTGTTTTTTTTTGGCATCCAAGAGCAATCTGGAATCTTCATAATCTGGTCTTGCACATACTTTGGAGAAAAACCCACTCAATTGGGAATCTTGGTTGAGTAATTGGCTGTCAATAGCTTGCTTGCAGGTTTTTCATAATTTCCTCAAAAGTTATGGCAAAAGAGATCTTTCAAGTGTCGTGTGTTCTTTGTGTCTAGCTCCAATTAAAATTTACTCCAAGATTTTGCATGAATTTGCTAACATTTTTAAGTCTCAGCAAAAGTTAGAGACCACAAGATTGTCATCAAATTTATGGACGTACTTGGTTCACTTGATGACACTTCCTTTTACCCTTACTATTCTAACGGGTGAGGAGTTATGACGTGTCATGGACATATAGGCATGACACTAAAATCCTATATCCAATAAGAAATGAATATAAATTGTATAATAACCATACACTTGTAAGATAACATAATGACCAAGGGAGTTACAATTCTGTGAACCCTGTGAATGTGCAGAGCATGCTGCAGAGTTTAGAGACGCAAAGAGGCCAGGAACTCTAGTAGACATGGAATTTGGTAACATTAGAATTTCTAACACTATAACATGAGGTGCTATGGACCATATTTCTTGTTGCATCAGTTGTATTCAAGGTCTGCCATACCGAAGCGTACTGCCCGTATCGAGCGGTACATACCGGTCCGACAGATTATCGGTATGCGAACCGCCCTGTACCACTATAGTGCTACAGTATGTACTACAGTACTATACTGTAGCACTACTACAGTATGAAAACGTATAAAATTACTCGGTATACCAGGGTGTACCGCTCGGTACGCCCTGATGTACCGCCCGATACACTGGTACCGTATCATACCGAGCCCAGGTTGAAATGCTGGTACGGTATGGTACAGCGAACCTTGATTGTATTATTAATGATATCTGATTATTTGTAAGCTAGAGCAGCGGTTATCTATTTCTCAGACCTGCAACTTATTCAGATTAAAGTTATGCTAGTTCATGATAGACTATAGATCGTTAATTTTAGAGTTTGATTTTCTTTTATTTCACTCTAGTATGTGCTGTCAGTTTATTTCTGGATTAGTGAACCTGCTTCACACAACAGCTTTTAACTAATAAAAAAATTTCTTGTGAAAATTCTCTTGTTGGATATAGTGGCTAGCCCAAAATGATAAGCATTATTTTGTTCTTGGATGAAACTAGTCCTCTCAATGAGAACATATGGAAACTGAAGGACATTGCCCAAATAGACAAAATGACAGGAAGGATCCATGTAGCTGATTGCAATTAGTTGGGCCTAGGGCAGGGTTAGCTGCTTTGGAGAGTATATTAAAGTTAAGGGTTGCCAATAATGCCTATAATCCTGGATGACTGATGCTAACTTCGAACTTCACTATGCAGATTCTTATCATTGTGCTAAAACATCTTATTCGTTAAATATATGCACCTACAATTTAGATCTTTTTTTGGTGGCATATGTAATGTTGTAATGCATAAAATCTTATTAATCAATGTTTTGATTTTTGAAATCATGGACAATAAATTTAGATCCTTTGTTGGCATTTGCAGCATTGTTATTTGGTATAACACGTCTGATCTGATGTTAGCAATATTAATTGGTAGGTATGTGTCTTGTGCCATGGGGTGTCCTGTAGAAGGAACAGTGCCTCCAGAAAAGGTGGCATATGTGGCTAAAAAGCTTTATGACATGGGTTGTTCTGAAATCTCACTTGGTGATACCATCGGAGTCGGTACTCCAGGTAGGATTCGTCCATTTCTACCACATACGGTATCTGTATTTATAGCAGGGTTTGTCGTACCGAACCGTACCGCCCGGTACGGGCGGTACATACCGGTCCGATAGGTTGTCGGTACGTGGACCGCCTGTTACAGGTCTGAGTGCACTGTAGCACTGCTATAGTACTCGGCACACCTGGGTGTATCGCTCGGTATACCGTACTGTACTGGTACCGAGCCCAGATCGAAATACCGGTACGGTACGGTATTGCGAACCTTGATTTATAGTATATGCTGCCCAAGAATTAACAGCTACTACTGTCCATTTTGGCTTTTACAGAACCGTGTTATCAACATAGTATTTCATCAACAGGAACAATTAAACATTTTATGATACCTGCTCTAGGATTACAACAAAGTGGTACTTTGCTGCTGGATGCCACTCTGACATTAATTTTTTTTTCTTCCTAATAGGGACTGTGATTCCGATGCTCAAAGCTGTAATGTCTCTCATTCCAGTAGACAAGCTTGCAGTCCATTTTCATGATACTTACGGCCAAGCGCTCTCAAACATTTTGGTCGCTCTACAAGTAAGCAAACTCCGATCCGTGTGAAGCATGGATCTAAATCCAAACTTCTGTTTGATCTTCATCTGATTTCATTCCTACGAACAGATGGGGATCAGTGTAGTCGATTCATCTGTGGCTGGCCTGGGTGGATGCCCCTACGCCAAGGGAGCTTCAGGGAACGTGGCTACCGAAGACGTAGTATACATGCTTAATGGCCTCGGCATCAAAACCAATGTGGATTTGGGCAAGCTCATGGCTGCTGGGGACTTCATCTGCAAGCATTTGGGACGTCGGTCCGGATCAAAATTTGCCACTGCATTGAGCAGAGTCACTGCAGATGCCTCCAAGATCTAATGTAAGATGGCAGTAAGAGCACCCATTTGCTATGTTATGTTATCAACCATTGGTTACCTTGAGATAATCGATCTGCTTATACCTAAATGGAAGAAATTGTCAACTTGTTTAATGTACATGAAATAAATGTTCCACAATGTCATCAGTGAACTTGGATGCCAAACTTGAACTTCAATGAAATTATGGAAATGTTTGTCTTCTTTTTCTTCTTATTTTACAATTTAGATGCTTAACCTGGTATGGGATGACATTGGTGGCACACTAACGAGCCTAATTTGATCTTGATCTAACTTGCACTATGAGCCTTTGGTCTCATTTGAGGTGTATAAGATTTCTGACTTGATACATTTGACGTTTAAGTTACGACTTTGAAAATAAAATAGATAATAAGGAAGGGATAGATCTCATAAATCATGATTGTGTTTGTTTATAATAATTGACTTTTTATTCCGTATACAGAAATTATTAGAAGAATATTTTTTGTTTGGGTTTCAAGCAATATGGCATGTTGGGTGATTTGATTACTTTGTTCATTTGGATGCTACGTATGGAGTTATTATTGGAGATAAATACCATTTTTATCATTAACAAAACAGGTATAGTGATTTATTACAGGAATTGAAGGAGGTAAAATGAGACCTAAGAAAGCTCGATAACGGGAAAGGATCTATACGACAATCCTAAATAGTTAAAATTTTACGACTTTGATATAAATGATTAGACTTCAAAATGACTCTGTCAAATGTTGCTTTATATAGTACTACTACATCCATGCATGTGCTTCATTTAATGCGAGGAAGGGAGCGCCGCAGGACATGCGAACGCATATTTTAATTATACTTGGGTGGGTTAGTTGTACCAGAAATGTCGACCCGACGCCATCTCCATTGATTGCTTTGGCAAATAATATATATTTGAACCTCTTTCACTACATGATTAGTTGTACCAGAAAGGTCCCACCACACACACACACTCTCTCTCTAAATTTTATTGTGACATCCTATTTGTTGCACCAAACAATGTTAATTAACGCTTCATCGCTCTCTCTCTCTCTTAAATAACTCATTAGAATGCTGACTATCCGTTAATCCTTCCTACAAAAAGAGCTTTCTGAATGTTTTCTTCATTTTTTTTTCACTCTATATATTGTATTATAATAACACCATATGTATTAGATGTCTATAATAATACGTTATTTATTAAAACCTCTTTTTCTAAATGACCCCATTTAAAACTCTAAGGATCCACCACTCTCCTTGTGAGATCCACTTTCTATCTATCTTGCTGTATATTAATTTTTTACACATGAAAGATATAAGCTAAGTTGATCGATAATGACTTCTACATGATTTTGTTTTTTTCACCACACGACTTTGATTAACCCTTTTATTGAAATATGATAATTTGTTTACCTCTTCACAAAACAATATATGAATTTTTACATATATCTTTTCTTTATATTTTCTTTCTGTACGTACATAGTAAAAATTCTATCGATCGATTCCTTTGATAAGTGATCCTTATCTCCTTAAACAAAGGTTTACTATCTCTCCCGTTTCAACTATGTGAAAAAATGGTTAAGAGGAGATTGTTAAAAGTGATTAAGTATTACCTTTCTATATAATATTTCATAAAATATTTTACTCCTTTATATCATGTATAAAAGCTCATTTTTAATACAATCGTGATGAAATGTACTTTTCATCGTTCGTATCAACATGCATTTATCTTGATTTATTAACTTAAACGTCGAAGGGATCAAATCAAAAAACCTCTCTTCACCTTAGTTTTCGTCTTGGCATTTTTATCTCGAAGACACCTTGGGCAACCCTGTGCACATGAGTCTGAACTATGTCAAGTTAACATGGGTCTGATGGCTTCTTCGACTCCTCCATTCATTCGTAGGTCGACACTTGAGGAGCCGAGTTATGACCCGTATTAATCAGTCAATCCTTATCCATCTTCCTAATAATTTTAGAAGAAGAGAGTATATCTTTCAACCAAAGCACTTGATTAGTCTCCTCATCTAACAAGAAGAGAAGTGTGTTATCTATGGAGCAGGCGAACCAATTGTCACCCTTAATCCCAACCTATACTTATAAGGAAGAAGTGCTCATTCTAACTCTTTTTGTTGTAAAGGGCACCACTAATCTTAAAGCTCGCTTAAGTAGCCAAATAATAGCTATTTTTTACCTTATACAATTAAAAGTAGGTAGCAAAGAGTTTACGGGTTAGATAATACCAAGGAGGCAACACTCTTTGATGAACACTATCAAATATTGTCATCTATGAGGGCGTTATTGTCCACCATTACAGGCAAGACAAAATCACTACATGAAGAGAAAAGCAAGGTATCACCTCTAGTGCGTTAAAAGATAAATAAAGGAATCTAAATATTAGGTCATATGGATAATGATCGGGCCAAGGGACTTGCAACTCGAACTCGATTGGGATAGAGTACCCAGTCCATAAGCGATCTATGAGTTGTGTGCTCATTATTGATTCTTGATCATATATACTTTTCATAGACTCTAAATCTAAAAGAATCTTTAAATTTATTGGGATCAACTCTCCCAGGATGGAGCGCCAACCTTCTTGGCCATTTGATGGCCAAGGGGTCAGGAGGAGATTGTGCGAGAAAATAGAGATATTCTAAATTATTGAGACAAAAGAAGTTCTTAAGGACTGAAGTTTTTGAAAGCCCAAAGTGTTAGAGAGCCGACATGCTTGAAGGCTGAGACATCGAGGAATTAATATGCTCTCAAAAAAAGAGCTAAGGACCAACTCATCTTAAAAAGTAAGATGAGGCTAAGAAGAGAAAGTTCCTAAGAAAGATCATAGAGGATCAAATGAGAAAATGAGCATCACCCTTATAATTAAACGAGATTTATAAGAACTAATCAATCTCTCTCCTCCTATATTGAAGGTAAGTGTGTTAAATCTCAAATTTTGATGATGAAACCAATTAATAGTATTTATGATTTGATCTACATTTTGAGTAACATATGAAGCTTCAATTAAGGAAAGACAATTAAAAGCAGGAAGAATCATGTTGGACCAAAGAGAAACATGTCCGAAGATTGGACATCGAGCCGAAGGATCGGTCGACATATCAGAAGAAGACTTCGGGCCATAGGTTCGGGCATCGACCAAGAAGAGCAAAAATTACGCTAAGGAAATCAGAGTTGCGGAGGTCAACTGGCTGATTGGATAATAGATCGTAAGAGAGGGCGATGCACCAAAGAATTGGATGAGGTGTCGATGAACCAATGACATGCCAAACAACATTTGATTGGCTTTATAATAATTGTCTAGATCGAAGTAGGTTTTAAGTGTATAAGATTAACTACGATAGCAATCAAGGCATAAAGAAAAATAGTCCCAGAATCAAGAATGAGATTTCGTTAAGAGTTTAAGAGTTCGTTGGAAGTTCGGACGTTCGTTAGAAGTTCTATCGAAATTGACCAAGAAGTCCAGGAGCTTACTAAAGAAGCTCGTTAGAACTCTTCAAGAAAATCATCGTGAAGTCTAGGAGCTTATCAGGAGTCCACTGGAACATTACCGAGAGATCTTCGGAAGTTCGCCGGAAGTTTGTCGGCAGATCGCCGGAAAAAACCTAGATTTACCAGACTTATTTAGCTTAGTGTATACCTTAAAATTCATAGTTAGCACATAATTGGGTTGAAATTGGACCAACTCAGTTAAGGGCCAATTAGGCCCAAGTTTGGGCTGTGTTGGGCCAAATGAAAGACCAAAATAGTGACCCAACAAGTGGAATCGTTGTGGCACAGTCTCCGAGACTATGTTAGGCAATGGTACCACTAGTCTGGGCAGTGGTACCACCCAAACTCAGTCTCCGAGAGACTGTTAGGTGGTGGAACCACTAGATTGGACAGTGGTATTGTCCAGTATCAATGCTGCAAGTGGTGGTACCGCCCAACATAGGCGATGGTACCACCAAGACCCGGGAAACCTGGGATGAGACACTTTTAGGCTCCAAGTTTGAATCCACTTGAGGCTTATAAATACCCCTCTCATCCCTGGTTAATTAATACAAGAATTAAGAGCAAAAAAGTAAAAAAAATACTATTGTAATATTGTGAGAACTTCTCTCAATCTCTAAGTGTTAGTCTTGTTTAAGAGATGAGTGAAGGGGGCTATAAAGGTTCTCTCCTGAACCTGTCAAAAAGAGAATCAAGTTATAAGGGTAGTTGATCTTCATCCATTGAAGGAAGATCATTAGTGGATGCCGGTAGTCTCGATGGAAGAGGAATCGATAGAGTATATGTAGGTCATGACGATCGAACTACTATAAAATGATTTGTGTTTCTTTTTTACAGTTTACCTTTACTAAACTGAATTATTACTTTCATTACCTTACGAATACTCTTTCAAGTTAATATCTCTCCGAAATAATTTTTCATCATAAGAATTTCTTAAACCGGTGATTTTATTCGCTCAACTAATTCACCCCTCCCTCTTAGTGTCGACTCAATTCTAACAAAGTGTTCCCTCGAGTATAATCCAAAGATATACTAATTAATAAAGGGACACCTTGAAAAGCATAAAAATATTAATATGTGGAGACTACCTTAGAAAGCATATAAAAAAACTAATCATGTTAGGAAATACAAAGCAAAATATGTCTAAAGCATGAGTCGAGAAACTCTACTCGTGTAAGAAAAACTTATACGGTAGGAGACATAAGGCAAAATATGTCATAAGGCATATGAGTTAGGAAAACTCGACCAATGTAAGAAGAAAATTTTCATGATTAGAAGCACACGATGAAATATGTTTGAGCTACATGAATCGAGAAAAATCAATCGTCATCAATGCTTACACAACTCATGGAGGTCGGGCTCCTTGACACCCATCAACTTTCACCTAATGTGGGAGAGGTTAGGTGGCCCTAATCGCCATCGGCATTTGCTCGATGCATAGAGGTTGGCGATTCCAAAGACATAGGTCAGAAAAGCTTGACCCTCCCCTCTATTGTTGTTGAGGTGTAAAGGTCAAGAAATCTAACCCCACCTTACTACCAAGCTGTGCA